ATTATTTAAATGAAAAGTTTGTTTAGTGTATGTGTAAATAAATAAATAAATAAAAATAATTACATTATTTAAAAAAAAAGTTGGTGTATTCATATACTAGTATATTTAGAATTCACTTGAAAATGTTGTGTCAGAATTATTCGTATCAGAAAACAATGCAAAGATGTGGTAAATTGGAACATGATCAGTATTTACTTTTTTTTATGTACACTGAACGACTCCAGCAGTTTTTTTTTAGTACGTTTGTTCCGTTGTGGAACAGGCTAAGGTCGGAGACCATGCTGCCTCCAGCAGATTTAGCAAGTTTTTACAACACTTGACAGGTTTAGGATACGTGTTTGTCTATGGTTTTAGTACCAATTTGCAGGGTAGTTGAATATATTCTTTAAAACTATTAGGTCTGTAGCGTTCATAATATATACTAGGCTCTGTAGTTATATTGAGATATGTTTGGTACAAGAAAACAACTTTCTTAGTTTGACGGTCGTCTATTTCTTTGAATGGTTACTTTATGCAATTTATTTAATAGATTTTGCTCCCATGATTTTGTGATAGTTGAATAAATGAATGATTTAATGAAAACTCTTTATTCACAGATTACAAAAATTAACACCAAGAAAAAAAAAATATTAACCTAATTGCAAAAGTTTTTTTTATGCAACTTAGAATGGCGAGCAAGCTAACGGCCCACCTGATGGAAAGTGGTAACCGTCGCCTCTAGACATGAGCAGTACCATGGACATAATAGAGTATACTGTTTTACTTATGTTACCTCTCATGCGTTGCCATTCTTGAAGACTCAGGTGTTAGTCCTCTGTACCCTGTAAATTCACTGCCATATTCCTCCCTTCAAACCGAAACACAGCCATGCAAACACAACTACTTCACGGTAGAAACACGAGTGTTCTACCCCCTGACAATGATGCTCCTTTCCACTTTGGGTTTACTGAAAGAGAACTCTTTAAGAGTTAAACTCGCCTTTGTAGATTTGCTTACTTCTGTCATATTATGATGTATTATCAGTGTGTACAATAAAGTATTAAATAAAATAAATAAATAAATAAAGCAAGATAAAGAGGCAACAATAGGCGACCTTATTGCATGGAAGAGCCAGGCAACCTTAGGATAGAGAGGAATAATCATTCAGATTAAGGCAGATGTTTTCTTTATAGAGCAAAAAACTTCTTGCTGCGAAACAAAATCATAGACCCATATTTTTTTTTCTTAGGCAATGGTCGATTAATCATACAACCTATGTTAGCTGTGAACCTTATTCTTAATCTGTGATTTATAAATAGCATAGACTAATGTGTATTAGTTATGATAGATTGTTTTTTTTTTAAATCTCTCTCTGTTTCCTGCATTATAACATGTTTAGCGGAATAAAACTTTCTCTGTGCAAATAACCGAGTTTAATTCAGATTATCCCATAAAAAACTAGCCTAGTCTTACTTTTAGTAGGTTTTAGACGTCCATTTCCACGTTTTTAAATTCTAATAATGTTAAATCTGTGTCTACGAAATATCTTGCCGTTTAACAGTCATCATCATCATCATATCAGCCGATATCTGATCACCGCTGAACATAAACTTCTTCCCTGGGGTGGGGGGGGGGGGGGGGGGGGGTGGAGGGTAATTGTCGTAGTAGCGGAGTTAGACAGTTGTGCATTTAACAATAATGCGAGTTTGTTACTGAAATAGCTGTAAATATTAATAATTCAAAATTCAAAATTCAAAAATCATTTATTCATGTAGGACATTTTAGCCGCTTATGAACGTCAAATTTTTACATTATAATTTTATATTTACCCTACCGTCCAGTTCGGTATATAGATCCAATTGAGAAGAACTGGCAAGAAACTCAATTGAATTACTTTTTTTTTTTAAAGCCAGTTTATTTACAATGTATATTTATATAGGTGTCTATGTCTAACATTAAATGAAAATTCAGTGCATGAACAACTATTGCCATGCACACTCGTCATTCAAGTAATCGTTTAGTGAGTAATAGGCTTTGCTCAGTAAATATGATTTAACAGATGTTTTAAATTTATTTAAGGGTAATTCCAACATATCCTTTGGTATCTTATTGTAAATTTTTATACCTATTCCCATAAAAGACCTATTAACTTTTTCTAAACGATACTTGGGGACAGCAAGTTTGTCTTTAAATCTAGTATTAATATTATGAATATTGCTGTTTTTTGGAAATAAGTCAAGATTTTTATGAACATATAGAATATTTGAATATATAAATTGAGAAGCAACGGTGAGAATATTTGCCTCTTTGAATTTCTCTCTTAATGAGTCACGACTCTTCATGCAGTAGATCGCTCGAACGGCACGTTTTTGTAATATGAATATATTCTTAATATCTGCCGCTTTTCCCCATAGTAATATTCCATAAGAGAGTAAACTATGAAAATAACTAAAATAGACTAATCTAGCAGTATCAGTATCAGTGTACTGTCTAACTTTACGCACGGCAAAAGCTGCTGAACTTAGTTTCGCTGCAAGGCTTTGAATTTGTGCACCCCATTGTGTTTTATTATCTAGTGTGATTCCTAGAAAGACAGTAGATTCTATAAATTCGAGAGATTCGTCATTTTTTCGTCAATCTTTACAGCAGTTTATGGAACCATTGCGGCACTTAGGCCCATAATGGCTGAGATGATCATATATGTGTATGTTTACAGGGTTTATGTATTTTATGTAATTTATAATGTGCAGCTTGTATTATTCTTTGTGTATACATAACTTATGCGTTTATACAATATGTACAGATCGTATGACTGCCTATTTTTATTTTTAAAATAACACAATTTACATGGAAAGGTTTTGCTGGAAGAAATCTCTTATTAGAGATAAGCTCGCCTTTGTACATTATGTTTATAATGAATTATGATTAACAGTATGTTTTGTGTACAATAAAGAATAAAGAATAGTTTATATTCACACAAATTCGTTATTTTTATAATGAAACTTTTTGAAAAAGTCAACGGCTGAGTTTAAGCCATTTTTCTTGGCTAAAATTGCGTTCTGAAGAGTAACGATAATAATGACTGTTCAAAAATGCTTAAATCCAACTTTACTTGAACAAAAATATTTCTTTCTTTCTATCCTATAAAATACAAGAAGAATCATTAATATCGGTGGCAGATTTAGTGAAGATATAGTGCAAAATATACAGACGCAAAGATAGGATTACTTTACAAAAATGACATTTCATTCGTGGTAAAGTTAATGTAAACATACACTGGGTATTAAGTACACTGTGTTTCGGTTTGAAGGGGCACAATTTTAGACATGTGCATTACCATGGACATAACAGGGTATACTGTTTTGCCCATGACACCCCCTATGCGTTGCCATTCCTGAGGACTCAGGTGTTATTCTTCTGTACCCTGTAAATTCACTGCCATTCACTGATAAAGTGAAGCTGGCATCTAAAAAACTCGGTGTGTTCAATAGAGCGAAGCATTACTTCACGCCGGATCAGCGATTAATGCTCTACAAATCGCAAATCCGGCCCAACATAGAGTATTCCTGTCACTTATGGGCCGGAGCACCTAAATACCAGCTTGAACGTTTCGACTCGTTGCTACGACGAGCTATGAGAATTGTCGATGATCCCAGGCTCACAAGCGGTATCGAACCCTTAACATTATTGAAAGACTGGCTTTTCTTTTTTTATATATACAACTTAGAATGGCAAACATGCTGACGGCCCACCTGATGGAAAGTGGTAACCGTCGCTTATAAACATGAGCAGTACCATGTACATAACAGAGTACTGGCTTTATCAGCCAGAAAAACCTGTGACACTGCGACCTTTCCATGATCTTTTGTATTTGCCTTTTTTAAACTTCGCTCCTAATTCCTATCGGTGTAATCTCTTCAGGATATTTAGTGTATTTAGGAGTGGTTTTAGTGTATTAAGGAGATATATCGTTAATGTATGAGTTGGCTACAGCCACACAATAAGTGCTACAACAAACTATGAGAATTGTCGATGATCCCAGGCTTACAAGAAATATCAAACCCTTAAGTCTTAGGAAAGATTTTTCCTCACTCTGCTTGTTCTACTGCTTGTACTGCGGATCGTGCTCAGAGGAAATGTTCAATATGATGCCCACGGCCACTTTTTACCATCGTACGGCTCGCCATCGACAGGGAGTTCCCTCATACCCTACAGCCTAGATGGTCGCGTACAGCGCGGTTTCAGAGATGCTTTCTCCCACGAACACTCAGGTTATGGAATGAGCTCCCTGCCGAGGTTTTCCCGAGAGACTACAGCATGGGGTTCTTCAAAAGGGGGTAAAGAGGTTTCTTCAGGGTCGGCAACGCGCGCGTAATACCTCTGGTATTGCAGGCGTTCATAGGCTACGGTAACCGCTTACCATCAGGTGGGCCGTATGCTTGTTTGCCACCTCAGTGGTATAAAAAAAAAAGGAAATGTTCAATATGATGCCCACGGCCACTTTTTACCATCGTACGGCTCGCCATCGACAGGGAGTTCACCCTCATACCTTACAGCCTAGATGGTCGCGTACAGCGCGGTTTCAGAGATGTTTCCTCCAACGAGCGCTCAGGTTACGGAATGAAATTCCTATCGAGGTTTCTCCAAGAGACTACATCATGGAGTTCTTCAAAAAAGGGGATAAAGAGGTTTCTTCAGGGTTGGCAACGCGCGCGTAATGCCCCTGGTATTACAGGCGTTCATAGGCTACGGTAACCACTTACCATTAGGTGGGTCGTATGATTGTTTGCCACCTCAGTGGTATAAAAAAGTATCCTTTCAGATAAAAAGAAAAGCATTTTCGAAATCAGTTTATTAATCACGGAGTTATGTGGTAATAAACATAAATAATAAATACAATCGAATTGAGAACATATTTCTATTAAAAGTCGGTTAAACGTAGCGGAAAACTTCATTAGTTGGACAGGAATTATAAAAAAAAAAAGAAAACCTATCAGCCTCATTAAAAAAAAAAAAATCACCTGGTGTATTATCTTCGCCGCCGTCGCTTTCCACCTCACTACCAACACTGACCGGACTGTCTCTCTTCCCTTCTTCTTTATTCTCCGTCACAGCTGCACTCTGGCCAGAGTTAAGAACCCTTGTTAACCACGGTTCATGGTAGCCCAATAAAAAAGGGAAACTAACACCACTCTGCTGCAGGAATGGCGCGTTAAAATAATAACGCATCCGGTTCAATTCTTCTAACCGTTCTGTGTCATCTTCGTCTGAGTTTCTAGAATGTTCCGACAGGTTATTCTCTATGTCGATATCGGGCGATTTTCTATCCGTGCCTATTATAGATTCTATTGAGAACGGTTTAGGTGCTTTTTTCTGGGTCTGCGTTTCTCCTATTTCAGATTCCATTGCACTGGATTGATATTAAAAAATAAAATTTGTTCTATTTAATTTTTCCACTGTCTATGGCATAACAATTCGATGTTTTAAAAACACAACACTACTGTTCTAAATTCAAATTTTGTTAGGGCGCCACGCACGCGTGCTGTCGTCGCGGCATACTCGCGACGTACTCACGTTTGTCGACGGCTTCGCTCGCCACGCCCACATACGGGGTGTAGTCAGAGTGTAATTTTATTTTATTAATAGCTCACCCCGGCTACGCGAATATAAGCTTTATTACGATCGTCGTAATACTACTATCATTACTGAACAGTTTATTTGCTTGAGGTCTCAAATCGCTCGCTAGCTACATCACTTGTAACTCTTTGGTGTTTACTTTACGACTCATTTTCGGTAAATAGTATTTTTTTATTTTCACCTTCTATTGCCACGATAAATTGAACCTTATGATTAAGAATATAAAATAGGTTTTCCAAAATAAATACACTATCTTTACAACTTTTCTCCGCTAAGCAGAGAATGATTAAGAAGACTTTTGTGAGCCGAGTAAAAGGGACACACATATGTGGCTGCGATAGTGTAGAGCGAGACAGGAAGAGCGATATTTGCGGACGCAACACTGGTAATTGGTGGTGATCAAAATGTTTTGCCAGTGTCAGCGCTTAGTACAAATTCATCGTTTTGTGCTCCGTTTGATGTGGGCTCTGTATTTTTTTTTTATTTGAGAAACTGGATTAAGGAATCTCTCTTTGAACTCGTTTTTTTTTTATATGTAACTTTGGCAAACTTTGCTTTTAGCCAGTGATTAAGAGAGATTGGATTGTTTGTATTGCAGTATTATATACCTCATCGGTTGAATAATTTGAGTACCAATTAAATTTTACGTTCAAGTAAAAAATATATTTATAATATTGATTCTACTTAATATTTTACTATTAATGAATATTTTACTAAGAAAACAAATGCACCTTAATAACTTACACTAGAGATGCAATTAAAGCCTTTGATCTTGATACTGTAATAAATATGTTCTCATTGTCATTATTTATTTATTTAGTCATTAGTACATATATGTACATGGCGGACTTAATGCTAAAAGCATTCTCTCCCAGTCAACCATAGGCAAGTGTCAGAATACACGAATGCGGTACTAGTAATTATTGATATACTTACATACTAAAATTACATATATAAACGAATAAATATATATATAAATAAAAAATATACTTACACATATATGATATTTACTGTATTATACACGAAATTGAGAATAATATAAAGTACTTACTGCTCGGATAAAGTAAAAAAGTGAGCGTGAACATTATCATAATTTCAGCCATTATCCGTCCACTGCTGGACATAGGCCTCCTTCATAGACTACTATAACGAACGGTCCTGAGCCACCTGCATCCACTGACTCTCTGTAATGCATTTGACGCCGTCACTCCATCTAGTAGACGGGGTTTTTTTTTAATGGATGATAATGGAATGGTAACCCCGCCTGCGCTATTAGGATACGCTGACGGGGCACTAGTAAGGAATGATAGGTGAGGATGAAGTAGGTCAGTTAGCCCATCGTGACGAATTCGACAAGAATTGTTCACGACGGTTTCCAGGGGGAACCACGTGGAGGTCAATCTAATAGGGCATATTACTAGCAATGGGGCTGTCAAACTCCATTGCTAACAATCCCTTTCCCTCCAGTAGACGGGGGTATCGTCCTACACTGCGTTTGTACGTGTGGGGTCGCCACTTGAGATTCACAGGATACAGCTAGTTTGAAATAGTCAAAACACAATCGGAATCAGTTATTAAAGTGACTTCAATAAGGCTATAATAGATAGAATAAGATATGTAAATGATTGCCCTAGCGATAAGACCGCCTTTTGTACCTTTATGTGTATATTTCAATCTGTATTTATGTTACTGTATTTCACTTGAATTATTCACTTGTCTTTTGTTTATGGTGCAATAAATAGTTAAATAAATAAATAAACATATCAGTTATTAAAGTGACTTCAATAAGCAGGGTATTGTAAAGTTATTTGCATATTTGTTTTTAGGTAGGTTTGTAATTATTGAAGTCCCCTAACATAGGTTAGGAGACTTCAATAATTACATACCTATTTATTTTTTTAAATCAATGTATAATGTTTATCTAATTATTTTTAAAATCAATGGAGTTTACTCCCGAGTTAGTTACATTTTTTATTGATCGACTTCAAAAACACGAGGCGGTCCTCAATTCGGTTATATCTCTTTGTGTTCATTATCTCAGAACTCAATCATTATGATATGATTTTAAAGGGATTTTTCTTTTATCTGAAACGATTTGTTTTCGGTTTATTCATATAGAAATATTATCAAAATTTGTTTAGTAGTTTAGTTTTAAATTAAAATAACTGGTCTTCCCCATTACTGAAGTCGGTATATTTTTTGGACCAAAATCAACCTGTCACGATGGAATTTTTTTTTTTGCAGAGTAATATCTTAATTATTATAAAAGTCTTAAAACCAAAACCTAACTGCGGTTATTTTTTTATGGATGATAATGGAATGGTAACCCCGCCTGCGCTAACGATAGGTATACATTGGCGGAGCACCAGTAATGGATGATAAGTGAGAATGAAAAGGCAGGTCAGTTAGTCCATCGTGATAAATACACCTGGGGTTCAGCACGATGGTTTCCAGGGGAAACTATATGGAAGTCGAACTGTTAGAGTATGTTGTTAGCGATGGAACTGGTAATGCGTGTTACTAACAATTCCTTCCCCTCCGCCTAACTGCGGTTACCAACCCGCCTTCCAAGCGGTGCTAATACTGGCGAAACCCACCATGAGGAAAAGCATTTTCAGTAGCGACCATTTAACCGTTGGTAACATACGTATACAGATCATTTATTCATAACTAGACGCCCGTCCCGACATGCAGGAGGACATTTTTACATTTTAAAATGTGGTCATTATGGCTGCACACGCGACGGAAGCTTAAAAATGGAGTAACTTCTCCCGTTTTCCCAACATCTCCCTTCACTGCTCTGCTCCTATTGATCGTGGCGTGATGAAAAGTATACTATAACCTGCCCGGGAGTATGAGAAATAATTGTACCAATTTTCGTTAAAATCCGTCGAGTAGTTTTTGTTTCTATAACATACAGACAGACAGACAGACAAAAATTTTACTGATTGCATTTTTGGCTTGGGTCCTGAACCCCGGCCGACTGTGCTTCTGCCGGGGGTTAGTTTGCCATCTCCTCTCCTTAAGAGGGGAGATGAGATTTTTTTGTAAAATTTAAGAAATAACAACAATTTCATTGAAAAAACAAGTAACTATATATAACTCACAATTAACGCGCAAGCGCACGCGCACGCGCACGCATATCTTTAAAATTCTGAGTTTGATTTTTAATATTCTCCAATTTTGGATAGTTTTCAGAGAATTTGGTAATCTGTCATACAATTTCCTTCCCTGAAACTGCGCTCCATGTATAACTACGTTCAATCTTGGTTGTATGCCACTCATAATGTCTTTACGTCTAGAACTTTTACGCAATCCCCTTTCTTGTGTCTATTTTTTTATACCACTAAGGTAGCAAACAAGCATACGGCCCACCTGATGGTAAGTGGTTACCGTAGCCTATGAACACCTGCAATACCAGAGGTATTACGCGTGCGTTGCAGACCCTGAGGAAACCTCTTTACCCCCCTTTTGAAGAACCCCATGCTGTAGTCTCTTGGGAAAACCTCGGCAGGGAGCTCACTCCACAACCTGAGTGTTCGTGGGAGGAAACATCTCTGAAACCGCGCAGTACGCGACCATTGAGGCTGTAGGACATGAGGATGAACTCCCTGTCGATGGCAAGCTGTACGATGGTATAAATTGGCTGTGGGCATCATATTGAACAATTTCTCTGAGCACAATCCATTGTACAGAACCATGAATAAAAAGGTATTTGATTTTCCTAATTATTCCAGTAGACCGTCCAGTTCAAACCCAGCACGGCCACTTGGCGGACCGTAGTCATTAGAGAGCAATTTACCCCCTCCCCCCATCACTTAGCGCACCCCCCGTCTTGCTCCTAAATTGATTGTGGCTATTTCCCAGACCGCTGTTTGTCGCAGACAATTTATGGTTTTAGTTTATGTACATTTTTGATGTTATGTTTTAAATTGTTTTTTTTTTTTAGTAGCAGGTCAGTTAGCCCATCGTGATGAATATATCTGGAATTGAGCACGATGATTTCCAGGGGGAACCACGTGGAGATCGTCCTGATAGGGTATATTGCTGGCAGTGGGGCCCCCCCCCCCTCCAAAAGATTACAATAGTAAACTTATTATAAATATAAATAATTACAAGAAATAATCACAATGAGAGAAACATTAGGCGACCTTATCTCCCTTATGTTTACATTTTAAATATTCCACAGCAAGGAACTGATTATAAACATCCACTGTGCGGAAATCAGAGGGAGACTTTGTACAAAAGTCGATTGCTTGGGTACCTCTGTCTCATTCGTGTTTCTATCGTGAAGCAGCTGTGTTTGCATGGCTGTGTTTCGGTTTGAAGGGTGGGATATGGCGTGAATTTACTGGGTACAGAGGAATAACACTTGAGTCCTCAGGAATGGCAACGCATGGGGGGTACCATGGGCGAAACAGTATACTCTGTTATGTCCATGGTACTGTTCATGTTTATAGGCGACGGTTACCACTTTCCATCAGGTGGGCCGTCAGCTTGTTTGCCATTCTAAGTTGTATAAAAAAAAAAAGATTTTTGCAAAGCAGTGAAAAAACATAGAGTAGTTGCCTAATATTGATTAATTTATAATGTCCAAAGCGTAACGGAAAACCAAGCGCTTGATTTATCAATTAATAGCCCATTGTTCTGATTTTGTTGGCACGTTGCGTGCATTCCGAAAGGGAGTCCGCTGAGATGCCAAAATGGCTGGTAAATTGGATTGTGCAGTAGCACGACACATTTGTAGGTAGTATATTAATTTAGATGTATGGTCCCGGCATAGAATGGACCACCCCTTCCTTTTTTGTTGGTGTCGTAAGAGGCGACTTAGAGAACTTAATAATCGAAGGATGGGTAGCAGCGTCCTTCTTAAAACATTACCTAAAAGGCCTAAAGTTATCAACTCATTTGCCAAGTATGG